ATAAACAGCAGTGAACACAGGAAACATAACTTAAGTGACAGCAACAGCTGGAAACTCAGTTCTGAATTATTGGCGCGTACTATAGGTGTACTGCGATGATGGATGAAGATCCCCAGGACAATAGTGCAGATAAATGTTCCCAGCAAGGAGGTGACAGTCAAGCAGATACCCAGAGGCTCATTGTAGGAGAGGAACTCTGTTTGCTTAGGAACACATCGGTCACGCTGAGGGCTGGACCAATAGTCCTCTGGACAACTGGTGCACTCCATGGAGTCTATGAAAAAAGGGACAGTCTTGAACTACATGTTTGTATTATATCTTCAAATCTGCAGGATGTATCTTTCCAAAACAGCAATGTTTAAAAGTCAGTACCAACCAGTCTTATTGCTGATCTTTCCCTCAGAACAAGGGATGCAGCAAACAGCCACACAGGTTCCCCTTTCTTTCTTGCCATGCGGGTTCCTGGAGGACAGCTCTCACTACACACTGATTTTGGTGGCTATAGAAAGAAAAATGCATTATTCTACATCACCTGACACTGCTATAATGAGTTATCCATGGTAAATCATATAGATAACCTTTTTAGATTCAAAGTTCCAGAAGATTTTGCTTTCATTAATTATGAGTTCTTCTCCTTCGGAGGCCGACCTCTTAACCTCACCCACACTCTGAACTTTAGTTCTTCCATCAGGGAGCCACAGCCAGTTCATGATATCATATATTGGTAAGGCATCACCATTCTCATCAAATGACACTTGATCACCAAATGGTGTAGTGAAGCTGACCTTTTCCAAGTAATGCACAAGCTATGAATATCAGAGATAGAGTAAACCAAAGAGTACAGATACAAATAATTATATGTGACTGTGAACACAGACTTGACACTTTAACTGATCCCTATGAATGACTAATGTATGTCTGACTGAAATCCCTGTTTTGCAAGGTACAATGGGTGAAATAACTTAAACAGAACAGAAAAAAAACGAACATCAAAATCTTAAACTTGAAGAAATTGCTGTTTGAAATCGATGTCTTCAGCAAGATAAATTAAAATTGAAAATGCAGTTAATGGTAGAGTAAATATTTTGTATTCTGTAATTGAGGCAAGTTTTAACCTTAATTTACTGAGACTGCAGTGCTATATTTCTTTTTGTCACTTTATTTAAAGGTTCATCTGTACTGAGACTGAATATAATTTGTTATATTGTTTGTTACTTATTTAATTTATTTATGTAACTGAATGGATGTTCTCTTCTTAGAGCTCTTTTATCTATTTACTTTTATTCTTAAACACAGAGCAATCACTAAGTTTCACTCTTACAAATGTAAGATTTGCTTCTCTCTTGTCCTTTTGTCTTGCAAAAATGATCAATATACCTGTGTCTTTGTGTCTTCTTACAGTCTGACAGATTTTACTTTTTATTTTACTTTTACTTACTTAAGTCTTAGCCAGGAGGAGAGGTGACAAATGTTCCTACCTCAAGTTAAGTAAGTCTTTATATTTATGAAACATGTTTAATTAGACTATACTAAACTGACAATTTCCAGTCTATGCACCTGGCCCCAGATACTACTATCCACTGCTATTACCCAATGGAAGGGATTGTTTCAGCTATTTGCTTGGTACTTTACGATTTGTAATCTCATAGCTTTGTATTTAATATTATACCTAAAATGTTACTGTGAAATAAATACTCAATTATACTGTTTTAGTCATATAAACAGGTGGAGTGTAAATTGATATCACACCTGCCATGGCTCCAGTCCTTTCAAATTTCCACAGCTGTGCCCGCTGAAAGGCCCTCTCCCTGGCTCACACTGCAGCATGTCATCAAGGGCGTACGCCAGAGCATACACAGCCTTGTACACATTATACTCTGGCCTGAGGTTTGAAATGTCCAGAAACTCAGTCTCCACATTCTCCAGATCTTCCTGTCCAGTGCATAATACTCCCCCAGCTTCTAACCAACCTGCTGGAGGTGGTGTAAATCTACACTGAAATGTGTATTCCCAAAACTGGTTTACCTGAAATATATTTATTTACGTTAATGTTTTGTTATAGTTAATGACAATATAATATTCTTGCAATTACAAGATCAGATTTGACTTTAAAACTCTCACTGTGCTATTTCCATATCTGTTGTCGTGGTGTTGGTCAGGACGTGTTTGTAAGAGGAATTCCCTAAGCCCTGGTATTTCTCCTCGACGGATGGCGATGCCCAGTGTGCCACCAAGGTATGGCATAAGGTGGGGGGTCTGGAGCACAGCAGCTGCTGTCCAAGCTTCGCTTGCCATCCACTGCAGGCCTGTCACATTTTGTCTCACCACCTGTGGATTATATTAAATATATAAGTAGGGTCTAGTGTTCAGAAACAGTTGGTATCTTGTCTCACTTATTCATACATAGATGCAATCCTATGTGTTATACAGTATTACTGTATGAGCAAAATGATGTATATCATCATAACTAGAGTTCTGTATAATTTGTCTCAAATGATCTCACTCTAAAACCTAACAGGGCCTTTAACAAATAATAGGTGTGACTTATTAAAAAATATGTTTGTCACAGACTAATATATTATTGTAACTTCTTTTCGTTCTTTTCGTTTGACAAATAAAACATTCAATT